ACAATCTATACCGTATTATTATTTTTATAATTAATTATCATGTACGTGGACAAACCAAACCACGCAATCACCAGTAATTATACGCATTACCTTGCTTTTTATAGCTTTTATCATAGGTTGATTTCAACTCCATGGCACGCATCTATCAACAATTGGTATATATATGCATAGTCTTCTTCGTCATTTAAAAAAAAAATTGTTTGATTATTCTAATTATAAACCCATATGGTTCATCATATGACAAAGAACACCAAATTTAAAGTGCTTGCAATTGTTAAATAATTCATCAATGACATTTTAAATTTTACTATCTTCTCATATATTATTATTACTCACATTCACAGTTTCATACAAACGACAGTACATAAATGATCCCTAGCTAACTCTTTCTTATCATAAATTATGATCAATCATCGTCTCTTTTTCTTCACGATTCCAAAAATGATCAATCTATTGGGTCGTCTTTCCAATCGTATATGCTGCCCTTGTGACATGACATTACTATTGGTGTAAGCCAATATGCCATAGTTGCATCAAAATATAAATCCATCCAGCGAAAAGGAACATTTATAGTACGATTGGAAACTAACCATTAAATAACATTTTCAATTTCTTGGAGGAGAAATACTAAAATTTACCAACATATATATTAATTAATAGAGATTTCAAAAAGTTGTGAAAAATAAAAATAAGAAATTGTCGCAAAAAGAAGCTTGTGGTTTACACTTCTAGCATAAGCATAATGAGAGAACTATATATTATATGTGTGCGCCAGTTTTGTGTATGACGACGCATTATGTTAGTGGGCGGAGACAAAAAGAAATGAGTGAATTTCAAGATTGTTGCGTGATTAGAAAGAGCTATTATTTATTCACAACTTAAAATTTCAGCAGAATAGTTTTATGAGAATTTCAAATGTGACTTATTCAACTTGTAAATAGTTTTATTTAGAACGTGCAAATGTACATGTGTGTAAAAATTGTAACGTACGGTTCGTGGATGTCTTCTTGTGGATCCTTTACATAGCTCGACCCACCCTAGGCATATATATATATGGGTCATACGACTCTCGTTTAATGGCTGGTTGCTATATATTTCAATGAGTACATCTTTATTATGTTCTGTGCAAATATATCTAATCATGTTATTAATCGTCTTTTGTTAAAAATAAACAAGGGAAGTATAACTGACCGGTGATTAAATAGTTTATAATATAACGACTCTAACTAGTCTTTAAACTCTTAAGTGAACCTAATTAAATAGATAAGTTTAAGATTGTTGTAGATGAGATCCAGATAAGTTAAAATTTTGGTTTATTTGTTTATTAGTCCTTCTTAATTCTTAGCACTAGCCAATGTGATCATGTCGATCTTGAACTATGTGACTTACAAAGTGCAACTTTTTTATTCTCAAGATCGGCATTAGATAAGATGACAATTTTATCATTATCCCCAGTGTAAGTAGTGCTAAGTGCATGTGAATGATCTTATATAATAGGACGGCGATTTTAATTTTTGACTTGTTTGTTTAAGCTTATCAGCATATGCAGTACTTAGTTATCTTTTTTTTATATAATAATAGTTAATAGTTATGGTGCAAAGGCAAAATTTGTCAAGATACATATTTCAACGACAAAGATACACATACTTTTAAGTTGTAAGTAATAAATCCATTTGTATATTGAAGTTACAGTTTACTGGTTTTGTCAACTATATATATTTTTTGTCAACTATATATTATCATTTAGACATGACATGACTTTTCAATAATTAAAACGAAAAAAATGATCCAATAAAATTGATAGAAATCATAATGATTTATGATCAAATGATCTTAGAAAGGAATTTGAAAAAAAAACGTTATAATGATTTTTCATCAAGTCATCTTAGAAAGAACTAGGACAAATGTTATTGTTTTACAAGTTATACAACTCACAAGGGTGTAAAATGATCTTAATGTGACCCACTATATATAGAATCTTCTTTTGCCGGTTACGCTAACCTCTTTCTCTCCCTCTATCTTTACATTGATAAAATTTTATAGTTTAGGGTAGTTGTGAACAGTCACTATTTGCTGAAAAAGAAAACGAACACGTCACTTGATCTTTGATCATTACTGGATGCATTTAACATGATAACACGGGTTTAAACTAGCTAAAATCTAAGTAAATGTATAAAGAGTTTAGAATATCCAAGTAATAAGATCACAAAGGTGATACATAAGATTTATAAGGTATGTTAAAAGAGGTTTTATATATTTCACCGGCCAAAAAACTCAGGGAAAGGAGGATAGGACCCACCTAGGAATGATGAGTTCCGCCGCTTGATTAGTGACCGCCGGCCGACCCACCACCGTCCTACGTGGACATGATCTCCTTCTTCCCTCATTTTCTGATTTCTCTATTTAATTACATTTACAAAAGTACCAAGTTGTAATTATTTTTACCGTAACCGCCGACACAAAAAAAGTGAAGAAGTTTAGTTTTACCTTGAAACAAATCTCACCCTTTTTTAAGAAAACGAAAAAGCGACATATGTTTTAGTGGATTTCGTCGGCATGCAATATTGACCTAACTCAAGCAAGAGGTATAAATACTTTAGTTCATATTATACGAACGTTTGTTTTTTCATGGATATATTCGTACGTACAAGCTTTCGAGTTATCAAAAATGAATTATGTGTTTCATGCCAAGTTTAATATTTTAGATACACGGCATTTGATATCTAAACAGTTAAATTACGTGAAAAAGACAAATATCAAAATTTATATATAAAGGTTATTTGGTTTATTTATTGAATGGGAGACACATATACTCTTCCTAATGTAACAGCCTAACAGATAAATAGGATTTTTCTTCACCTTTAAGAGCGGTTTAGGAGCATGCGTCTAGATCTAATAATTAATTTTATTTGTTTTTCAATCAAAAGCATGCGTCAACTTCAAACGAAACGAACAAAATGTGCAGAGAAAACAAGCGCAAAGCACTTCTTCAATCCGAATATAAACATGCAATTGACACGTGCTTGGAGCTTTGAATCCGAGACATCTTTGTCAACGTTGATTGAAAGAGCAAAGTTCATAAGAAAACCTATAGCCACTTAGCTTATTAATTAATTTCTGGTAACTAATCAATCTAAATGGTAATTTCTGTTACTTTAAATCATAATCAATGTATCTAAAAAAGTATGATATTAGTTTGGTTTTCACAAATTAATGGCTAAATAACTCTGAAACGTACTTTAGAAACAAATATATTGTTTGTTAATTAATAAAAGAGTCAACGTCGAAAGAACGGTGATAAGTGCAATTTTGAAGCCCAACAAGTTATGTCGAAACACGTTTTGATGAAAGTATGTATAATGGCATAGGTCCAAAGCATGCAGGACCATGGTCGACTGTTTCACTTTGTTATGTTTTTTCTGTACCTTTTTGGTGGCATGTCATTTAGAACCTCTTCACCAATCAATGTCTATAAATCCTATATTCGTGTATATATATGCAATTAAATGGAAGACGTTCTACCAAAACATATGCATTCTGATGCGGTGGTGCATATATATGTAAACACGACATGATTATATATGTAAATTTGAAGAACAGATGCATACTGATTATGCGGGGATGCATATATGTATATAAAAATTAAACATTCGAAGATGCCACAACGACGCTCCCAAAATAGATGAAAATCATTTTTGGTACCAAAATAAGATAATAACTTTATTCTTCGTTTCGCATGATATGTATATAAATTGGTAGTAGCTTTATTTGTCTTCTACGTAAAGATAATAGTCGAACAGCCAACAGGAGATCGCCACGTAGCGGCTGCGGTTCGAGTTCACTCCCTTCTCGTTGGTTCTTGTCGCTAAATCATTGGAGAAGAAGAAGGCTGTCACTGGAGCTGTATCTAAAGTTACGGATATACCCTTCATGAAACGCGAAGTGGTGCGAGGATGTTTTGGTAAAAGGTCACAAAATCCCATGTGAAGCGGGGGGTTTTTTTGGTTTATTGTACTCCCACGTGGCAGAGGGACATTCTCTGTTGTGCCAGCGTGGCATGTTCCAGAATGTCAGAATGTTTGCAACACTGAATAGGCCCGTGACCTTATTGGTCTGACGGTAAAATTTTTATTTAATCTTTTTATTTTATTTTTCTTGCTGTTGTTAATATATTACTCAGTCGCAACTACCTATAGCTTTGAACAATTTGGACCGAAGAAAAAGTTACGAAATGGTACATATATATTATTGATCATATCTATGTACAAACTAAGTTAGGTCCCAAGTTGAAAGAATGTCAGAGTTATTTGGCAGTTTTGTGGTAGATGCAATGTACAAATAAACCCAAAAACAAATTGTGAAGGGTATATGAATAAATCAAAAATTGTGATTTCGAACAATATAACGAATTGAATTGAATACCTTTGACGAAAAAGAAATGCATTGTGTGTGTGTGTGTAACAAACTAACAATAGATTTATAACGTCCTAGTCCATGTTATATGCTGCAAAACCTTGATCTGATAATTATAAAAAGAAATATTTAAGGTATAAGATGATATTATATGTTTTGAGCATTCTTAACAATATATGTAACCAAAATATTAATAATGCACCAATCTTAATAATCAGAGGTAACAATAATTTTGATATAATTTATTGGGTCATAATATATAGTGAAGAAAATATCAAAATTATGTAAGTAAATAACTCCGTTTTACTTCTAATAAGACATATATGTATAATAGTGCAGAATAATTTATATAAAGAAAAAAAAAAGAGTGAAGAAGAATGTGAACTAAAAGAAGCGGGAGGAGGGTGACGTACGCAAATGGGGACATGGAGAAAGCCACGCGCAATTGAGCGGTCCACACTCTCTCTCCTCTACCCTTTTTATATCTCTCACCGAATCATCAATCTCTCTCTCTCTTTTCATATCCCCTCGGAGCTTATAACCAAGTTCTTCACTATCTCATCTCTCTCTCTCTCGATGATCATCATCTTCTACACATCCATACCTCTTTGACCTCTTCTTCTTCTTCTTGTCTTTAATAGTCCTCAAACGAGTAAATAGTATTCCATACACATATATATCTCCACAGGTTCAAGAAAAGGTAAAACCTAATTTACTTAAAGGCTTTCATCATCAAAAGAGTCTATATCTGCATCGTCTCACTAACTTACATGTGCATTTTAATTTTGTTTTACTAACCCTTTCATCGATCTGCTTATGTGATTAATTGTCGATCTGTCTATTAAAACTTTTTGTTTTGTATGTCCATATTATAATATCTGAGCTAGGTCTCATGAGTTCAGACATGCATTTGGATGTGTAACTCATTCGTACGTATATATATATATATATTTATTTATATATATATATATATTTATGTATGTGTAGCAGTACTGTAGTAGTATATATATAGCACAGTCTTGTGTACTTAAAGCAATTCCATATATATAGCACAGTCTTGCGTACTTAAAGCAATTCCAAAATGAAGATAAAACAGACATATACTCTGAAACCATTATTACAGGTTTTTCTCAGACTTGATGATTTTTTTGTTGCTTTTGTTTTGTTTAAGATGTGGAAAAAGCTGTTTTTGTTTGTATTCTATAATGCTGTATATATCATATACTATATGTAATGCAGCTAGGTTGGGTTATTATAAAATATTAATATAGGTTGAGAAAGAAAAAAAATTCCGTTTCTCGATATGATCATTGCCTCCATTAATTCGTAAACCACGTTACAACAGGAACGCATCATTGGACTAAACACTCCTTTTCCGTTTTCTCTTAGCGTCACAGAAGCTCTCATGCATGTCTTCTCTTTGATTTCTTCAACTTTAAACCTAGTTTTCATGTTCTTGTTCCATCTTCTGACTTCTTTTTGATAAATAACACAAAAACAATACATGAGTACATGTAACTACGTACGTACATCAACATGGAAATGGTAAGTAAGTGGGAACTAACCACCAAATGAGCTGATATACTTAATTACAAATAAGCATTCTCCTTCTTTTGTGTTTGTTTCCATGAAACCATTTATCTAACTTTTCCCTACCTCTCTCCTATATGTAACCCCAAGTCTTTGTGATGTCGCATGCATGAAGATATCAGCATGCATACACATGTACATAATACATACGTATATATGACATTATGTATAGCGCTCTCATACTGGTGTTGAACTTGGTGTTGTGCAGAAATAATGGAATCAGTGGATCAATCATGTAGTGTTCCTCCGGGATTTAGATTCCATCCAACAGACGAAGAGCTCGTTGGTTACTATTTAAGGAAAAAAGTTGCATCGCAAAAGATCGATCTTGATGTCATCAGAGATATTGATCTCTACAGAATCGAACCATGGGATCTCCAAGGTTTTTTACAAAAGACATGATGCATGCTTAATTTAGGATTTGTTTTCTTAATCTGACAATGTGAATACAAAGATTTTGATGAGCTTTAATTATGTACTTTTCATAGAGAGATGCCGAATCGGATACGAGGAAAGAAATGAATGGTATTTCTTCAGCCACAAAGATAAGAAATATCCAACAGGAACAAGAACAAACAGAGCGACCATGGCTGGGTTTTGGAAAGCCACAGGTCGAGACAAGGCTGTTTACGACAAGTCAAAACTGATTGGTATGAGAAAAACACTTGTGTTCTACAAAGGAAGAGCCCCTAATGGCCAAAAAACCGATTGGATCATGCATGAATACCGGCTAGAGTCAGATGAGAATGCGCCTCCTCAGGTATTTTCGTTTTACCTGATATCATTTTTTGAAATAGATAAGGTAATTGTTATACTAGATGTTCAATATCTAGATTTTATCATCTTTGGGAAATTACATGTTAGTTTACTCGTCCTTTATGGGGCCAAGAGACTTTTTGTTTAGTCTCATAAGCTCTTTTGTGAGACACATTTTAACCTTTTAGGTAAAAGTCGAGTATCTTTAAGACTTATGTAAAATGTTACTTCCCACCTTTAATCACAAAACAAAAAGTAAAAAGTATGTCCTAAAACTTCAGTTCCATGTAGACCAAGGTTCGTTCCTCTTTATATGAATAAGAATTTTTAAAACAAATTTGGGCGTTAAAGTCTTATATTAAGTCGTCTGACTAAATACATGTATTAAAAGCGAGTTATACATATCGTTTCAAATCCTTTATCTAGCTTTTAGATACGAAATTTTTGTAAATACTATGAATGATGTGTGTATGCGTATCATATTTCATGCAACATCTCTAAATGGAAATTTTATAATTAATAATAGTTTGATATAGCTTAAATATGAGTATGTACCTATGCTTATTGCTAGCTATCTTTCCTGTGGTCTCACACTTTTAAGGCATGCTCTTATTGTGTCTCACTACAAATAAAAGCAACATTATTTCTTCTTTTTGTTTGACATTAGCCTAAAGGTTTGGCATATTTACACCAAATGTAATACACCATTCTTTTTCATGATTGTGTGTATCGTAGGAAGAAGGATGGGTGGTTTGTAGAGCGTTCAAGAAAAGACCAACGACGGGGCAAGCCAAGAACACGGAAACTTGGAACTCAAGTTACATTTACGATGAATTACCAAGTGGAGTAAGCTCGGTTATGGAGCCACTCAATTACGTATCTAAGCAGAAACAAAATATTTTTGCACAAGATTTAATGTTCAAGCAAGAACTAGAAGGATCAGATATCGGTTTAAACTTCATCCACTGCGATCAATTCATTCAACTTCCGCAGCTCGAAAGCCCTTCACTCCCTCTTATGAAAAGGCCAGTGAGCTCGACGTCAATTACATCATTGGAGAAGAACCAAAATAGCTACAAAAGAAAGTTAATAGAAGAGGATGTGAGCTTCAGTGCGCTAATAAGTAGTGATAATAAAGATAACAAGAAGAAGAAAACATCAGTGATGACTACTGATTGGAGAGCGCTAGATAAATTTGTTGCTTCTCAACTTATGAGCCAAGAAGATGGAGTTTCAGGTTTTGGAGGCCATCAAGCAGAAGATAGCAATAAAATAATCGGTCATTACAATAACGAAGAGAGCAATAACAACGGAGTAGAGACTGTTTCTTCCACATTATTGAGTGACAGAGAAGAAGAGAACAGATTCATCAGTGGATTCTTATGTTCGAACTTGGAGTATGACTTATATAAGGATTTGCATGTTTGATCAAAGATAAGGCTATAAGTATGGTGCGTAACGTTCGCTATATATGTACGTAGAATATATTGATATAGTGCGTATAACATATATGACTAAAGATTGTGTGAAAGATTTTTTTTTCTCTCTTATATACACTTTTAATTTTCGTTAAAAAGAATAATGTATGGCTGTGAATGAGTGAAGATAAATGCTATTTATTTTTGTGTTCGATGTAACGTTAACGAATTATATAGTTTAGGGTTTTGGTTTATGTATGGGATTCGTTTTCTTATATATTCTTTTTACGTAGTGCAGAGTTCACGTATATCTAAATAAATTACACCAATTTTTTTTGTTTGATTGGAACTTAACGTACAAGAATGATTTAAAGCTTATGTGTGGTCTAATTTGTACATCAAAGTAAATTGAAACAGCATGAATTGATTAAATGAGAGGTTTAATTAGGGATTGTTGATGAACTGTGTTAAGAGTAACGAAATAAACAAAAGAGAGTTGGCCCAAAGTGGGCCTATGAGTTGTCGAGCGTGCGGCGTACAAGATGGGAGTCCGATGGGCATGCTTTGTCGTCGTTTCAAGAGCATAGCCTCCTTCCTTACTCGTTTCTTCTCTTTCTTATTTCCCTATGTATTCTAATTCCTCTTAAAATAGTGACTACTTATCCTTAAATAATTTATTTCGTATAATTCCAAAGAAAAATTGTTACTCTTATTTGTTTTGTTAAAGTGTTTCAATAAAATAGTAACATTTCCAATATTTGTGAAAACTTATACAAATCTCTAACAGTTTCAGTGAAGACGACTAGTCGCCTGTTCGTGTCATCTCTGAATAGTGAGTTTTTGTCATATCAGAAGTATTTCTGTCCAAATAGTTAGTTTTTTTCCCTCATGACAAATCAAGTCTAAGGGATTAGCAAAATAAGAGATCAAGATAACGTGTGAGCATCTAATTGAATCGACATCCGTACCCTTGGTCTACTACTAGAAACACTTACGTACTTAAAAAAAAAAATTGAATAATCCTTAATTGATACCGTAGTTTATATATATTGTTTTCGAAAAGAGATGACAAGATCTTGGCAATGGAGATTTTACATGATGGTAGCTTTTGAAGGGTGATTGAAGGGAAGACAAGGCTTGTGATTTGTCCATTTCATACTTAAGGTGGGCCAACTAAACCACTCGTCTCATGTCTTCATTGCAATCCTCTCTTTTCTATCTTCAATGTATTTTTCCTAAGGAATTCAAAATATTGCAAATGGTTAATATGCAAAAACAATTTTATATATCTTTTTCTGAATTTATAAGTAACAGAAACAGTTGAAATACTAAGACATAATTTACTTTCATAACAAATAGATAAGCAAACTAGAGGCAAATGTATTGTTCTTTCCCGAAGCCTTTAAAAGCACAGTACATTTCAAATCCATATGAGTGCGGAATTTGATTAAAATTATGACAGTAGTATTAGTGTAGGATCAAAACATCTGTTTCCGCGTTATTACCTACCATTGTAGGAGCTCCACGTAAGTAAAAAAAGTAAGTAAGGGTATCATTAGGAACAATTACGCACTTTTAACCAAGCTAATGATGGGGGTATATACTATATAGAGACATGTTTGTATTTGTGTTATATGGTTTTTGGTATAATAGACCTAAAACATGCGACTATTTTAGGATATGTGTTAGACCCACTGACCACTTCTAGTCTACTCTCTCTTTTGGGGAAAAATAATATGAAGTTAAAAAGTATCGCAGAATCTTGACCAATGGGTATCCTCCATAATATAAGGGGGTGTTATTGGATGGAGAATTTTAAGGAATTTTAATTACGGGTGGATTTTAAAGTTCAATAGCCTTTAAATACAATTAAGATGGATTTGGTATGAAAGAGATGAAATCCTTTGAAAAATGTTAGGATTGTGTTTGTACGTGTTTTAGATGTAAAATACATTAAAATCTTAAAGAAAACAAAATCTATTGAAAATTGAATAACGCTTGTTTTAAAATACTTTAAAATACATCCAACAAATGTTAAATCCAATAACAGCAGATTTTATTGTGGTTTTTAAAATACATCGTTAAATAACGCTAGATTTTAAAATACATCCAAATCAATTAAAATACAAGGTTGAATAACACCCCCTAAGTCAAAAAGCTTCTTTCATTTTTTCCTCTCACGAGACTGTAATGTGAACTTGACAGAAGAGGGAATCACTGTTTTGCCCACGTTGTCGTCTTTCAATCAATTTTCCAAACCAAAACATTTAAAAGTAAAAATGAGAGTAAAACTGAATGATGCCAAATGTAATCATGGCTTGGAGCATGAAATAAGTCCATTTTCGTGGAGTTCTTCAAGAGAGATTACTCAAAAACTTGGTTGGTTATGTTTGTTGTTTGAGTGAAGAAACCATGGACTCTGCATATTAGGATCCATAAAACTTGTTTGATAACGTTAAAAAAGACCATAAACTCCTGGATTATTTCCGGTCAGTAACAAATTTCACTATACAAATCTTTATTTGCTATATATAACACAAACAAGTAAGTTTGTGATGACAAAAAAAATTATCTTACAAAAAATCTAGCTAACCCATAAACCATAAAGAATATAACACCTAGCCACATAAACCTAAAAGCATCGGACAAATACCCAGCAGCAAAGCTCACCATACTATTTCCAGCTGAGATATCACTTCCATTACAGTTCCCTTCAACAAGGACATGGTTTGGTTCCTCGTACACCAAACTTAAACCACAATTCACAATCTCCCCTGCTCCATCTCTCACTTCAAATACGATTGAAGCCTCAGTAGGAACACATTTATGATTTTCTTGCGACTTCAATGACCCTTCCAAATGTTCTGTTATGTGTGAGCAACTGGTGTAACCGATAAACACATGGTCCGAATCAATCTTGCGTGGTTCGATCCAACCTCCACCAAGAATACAAGTGAAACGTATACATGTCCCAAGCTCGTTTTTGAACTCACAAGTGCACTCTATTGAGAAGCGGTCAATTTCATCTTGAGTGTTAGGGAATGTGACAACAGCGCATAGAGCTATTGTTGAAAGCCTGTTGTCACACCAATGTGGCGGAAATTTCAACTTTAATGCGCATCCAAGTTTCCGATGGTTGAACCACGAAGGTACTTCACTTCCTGGAAAGCAAGTGATGAACAAAGCTTCTGAAACAGTTCCCTGCAAAAATAACACAAAAAATCATAAACTGTTAAATAGTAATTCAATTAGATAGGGTGTGAAATGGGACCTCTTCATAGCATCGACGTGCCTCTTGCTGACTTTTCCTTTGAGCATACGATGTGATGCTATTCTTTGCAACTTGTTCCAGATTGTTGCAGTTGGTGAAAATGAATTTCGAGTGAACCTTCTCCATAAGCTTTAAAAGGGCTAAGGGAGACGCAACTGTTTTCAGTTTGTCACAGCCATGAGCATCTAAGATCTCTAGATTTGGTGGAAGCAATGGAATTGATGTGAGATTCTTACAATACTTCAGGTCAAGCCATTTCAGATGATCAAGTTGACTGATGTCAACTTGCAGAGTGCTGATCATATCGTTCTTACTTAAGCATAAACGTCGCAATGGGGATAGGTCGTTCATACCACGTCTTAATTTGCGTAGATCTTCCACTTTTGAGCTATTAAACCGCAATATCTTTGGCATTTCTTTAACTGCTGTCCCGTCGAGCAATAATATCTGCAAACGTTTCATGTCTTCAATAGGAACTGCAAAAGTCTTGAGCTTTGAACAACCAGATAGCACCAGTTCTTGCAAAGCTTTCAACTTCCCTAGGCATTCTGGAACTGCCCCCAACATTTTGCAGTCTTTCACGTTTAATACAATCAGTTTCTGGAGCTTCACCATGTCGGTTGGAAGTTGACCAATCGCAGTCCCATCTAAGTGTAGATTTTCTAGGTTATCTGAAATAACGTGGAACCTCTGAAGGCTTGAGCAGTTGGTGAGGATGAGAGTTTTCATAGAAATCAGATTCATATGTGGAAGAACTCGGAGACTCGTGCATCCTCTCATGTTAAGAAAAATAAGGCTTTTCATACCTTTCATCTCACGAGGCAACTCCTCCAACCCCGTGCAGCCCTCAAGATTTAATCTTTGGAGACTTTCAGCATTTAGCAACCCTGAAAGATTGCATAACTTTCTTGAGTGGCTAAGATCAACCCACTTTAACTTTGGTGTATCCTGCAATGAACAGTCAGAAAAATTAAGCAAGCCTAATCAAGTAAGCTAATAAAATCATAACAGTGAACTTGAAGAAAGACGCACACACCTTAACTCCCTCCCAGACCTCTTCAATCTCGCTGTAAGGCAGGTTTAAGTCGGTAAGATTCTTCGGGTTGAAGTCTTTTGGAAGTTTCTTCATAGGGAATTTCAGCCAATGGAGATATCGTATCTTATACAAAGGAAAATCAAGCCCCTCAGGGAAGTTTAATTTACAATCAGCTTCACATTCCCGATCACAACGAGAACTATAGAATTTGAGGTATCTAAGATTGCACATCTTGATGAAGGTACTTCTGTCCAAAGGAAGTTTCTTCTTCAGTTCAGTCATGTCGAGAAAAATACCTCTCACTCTGTCTGCTCCCTGCTTAACCAATTAATGACAAGAAGTTAGCAAGTAGAGGTCGTGTGCTAAGTGAGCTTCTAATTTATCATATGAAAGGAGAGCTTCAAAATTTTGCTACACCCAAATATCAAACATTTCAAGGTTTATCTTACCAGTCTCTTCTTCAGAGCACCAACAATACATTTATGGTTCCACAGCCTACATGACCCTTGTGAACCAAGTTCCTTGCCAAATGTATATAGTAGATCATGCATCTCCACTCGTCCACCAGAAATGTTTATCAAGAATTTACTGGCAAGATTCTTTATTTCACTCACAACATCAATGGGTTCAGTGTCACGGGACTCCACTAAACACCTCACGTAGTACTCATCCCCTGATCTAAAGAAACACGCAATATCAAGAAAGACATCTTTGTGATGTGAACCTAGTTCATCATAGCTTATCTGCAAGACATCTTGTATCGTCTTATTGGGACTTTTTGCTAGCTTACAAAGTTTCTCTTCCCAGTGAGTCTCGTCTTTTCCATTTAGCTCCTTACCCAATATCTTGAGAGCTAATGGGTTGCCTTTGGCATAATCCGCAAACAATCTAGAAAGATTCATGAAATTTCCTTGTGGAGTACAGAGCTTACCACTAAAGGCAAAATAGTTAAAGTACTCAAAGCTGTCTCTGCCAGTCAATCTCAGAACCTCATATGTATCATCAACCATCCCCTCAATCACCGACCTGTCACTAGTCGTGATAAAGATTCTACTACCTCTCTTAATCCAGTCACATTCTCCGAGAAGATCCTCTATCTGTTTCTTGTCACTCACATTATCAAGAACAATGAGAGATTTCTTACTCAGTAGGAGTGCCTTCAAAGATTCAGGTGACAAGTCAGCGACTTCTTGGTTCACATCATCATCCTTCAACAACTCTTTCATGAAAATGCTCCGATCCATCATGCGGTCTTTCCACATCTTACGGACATCATGAAGAAAAACACAGCGTAGGAACTCGTGTTGCCACTTTTCATACAGCATACTCGTCAGGGTAGTCTTACCGATACCGGGCATCCCAACAACCCCAATGGTAAGAGTACTTTTGCACTCAAAATCTAACTTCTCTTCCAATTGCCTAAGACGTGTTTTGATGCCAAAGAGAGGAGGTAGCGAGTCGGGCGCAGCTTCAGGCGTTTCCTCGTCACATGCACAAGGATCATCAATGGGGATTTCTGTTTCCTGATCTGTCGAAATGTCAGTTAGTACATTCATCACTTGGCCTACAATTAGATTGATGTATTCACCTTCATTGCTACAGAAGAAGTTGAAAAGAACTAAATCAGAAACCCCAATAGCTAAAAGAGAGGTATTTTCACTTGGGAAATTCAAGGATTAGGTACCTCATCTCGGTCAACGCGAAGCCTAGCTTTTTAGGAACATCCTTCAAAGCTTGTTTCCACTTATCGAGCTTTTCACCATTACAAGTCTTAGCCAATTCCCAAAAATTGTCACCAAAAATCCCCTTCAGGTTTTTCACATCGTCCGTCTCCACCTTGTAAAATATAGGGATAACCACAAGTTTGCCTAAATCAACGCACTCCTTAATCTTCGCAAGCTCGTTCAAGCACCAATACGACTCCGTGTACAGGGTCGAGAAGATAGCGAGCGCGATCCTCGATTCCTCAATTCTAGAGAAGAATGTGCTAAGATCTTTACCTTTGGTTTCGTTTCTGTCGATGAAGACGTTGATTCCATCCATCCTCAAGGCCTTCTCCAGATGGCTGACAAAGCCGTTCCGCAGCTGTTTCCCTCGGAAATTGATGAAGACTTGATGCTGTGGCGGTGACTGGGCATAGGAAGAAGATGAGGCCGCCATGATCTCGATGGGTCAGGGGGATTGTTTTGCGTTGAGACTGCAAGCAAAGCATGATTCTCTTGGTTTTGCAGAGGCATGTGTGGAAGAGAGAAGACCATTGACTAAAAAAAAACTGGAGGTGAGTGGACTTTGATTTTTTTATTTTTTTTTCCCTAACAAGTCGACGACACTACCGTGATTTACAAAATAAGAAAGAGCCAGGAAGGCTTCCCCAATTGCTAAATGGAGTCAACGTTCTACTTAACGGAGAGAAAGCTCTCAGAGAAGCTCTGTGATTTCGATCCTCCTTTCCATGGATTCTTCTTTTTCCCTCCTTGGCATCTGTGCGTTGGGTACACTATTGTTCATGATGGTGCTTTATAAAAAATTCAGATCCAATCCGCAAAACATAACAATGGCTTCACCTCCTCCTCCATCATCTCGCAATTGGGGACACCATGTCTTCTCGAGCTTCAGCTCCGTAGATGTCCCCATATCGTTTCTCAATCGGATCTGGAAGGAGCTAAGAAGAAAGGGATTCGATCCACTCACTGATAATGAAATCGAGAGGTGCGTATCTATCGGCCCTGAGCTCCTGAAAGTGATTAGTGTGTCGAGAATCGTCATTGTCATCCTCTCAAGGAACTACGCTTCCTCGTCGTGGTGTCTCGACGAGCTTGTGGAGATAATGAAGTGCAGGGAGGTGTCGGGTCAAAGAGTCGTGACCGTCTTCTATGAATTGGATCCAGTTGATGTAGAAAAACAGACCGGGGATTTTGGGAGAATCTTCAGAAAAACATCTAGGCCTAAAACAAAGGAAGACACTGAAAGATGGAGTCAAGCTTTGGCAGAAGTAGCCACAATCGTTGGGTACCACTCTAGCCAGTGGTTAGTTCTTTTGATTATATACCACTTTACATCTTCTTAAATCTTAATCTTTCTTAAATTATCAATAATTTTTTTTTTATACGTGTATTTGAATGATTTTAGGCATGGTGATACTGCGGCTATGATCGAACACATTGCCACTGATATTTCAAAAGTTTTGAATAATTCCACTCACTCTAGTGATTTCCAAGGCTTAGTTGGGATGGAAGCTCATATGGAAAAGATGGAACAAATGTTATGTTTGGTTTCAAATGAGAAGAAGATAGTAGGAATTTACGGCCCTTGTGGGATTGGTAAGAGCACCATAGCCAGATTTCTAATTAGCAAACACTCTCATCTATTCGAATTGAGCACAATGACAAATGTCAAAGCATGGGCAAAACCAAGCCACAATGAGTACGATGCGGAACTGCAGTTACAGAACCAAATTTTGTCTAGACTATTGAACACAGATGAGATTCTTCATTTGGAAGTTGCACAAAGAAGTTTGAAAGACAAGAAAGTGTTATTTGTTTTCGATGGCCTGGATAGCTCAGCACAGTTAGATGCCTTGACGAAAGAAACTCTGTCATTTGGTCCTGGAAGTCGAATTATCATCACAACACAAGATCCAAGACTTTTAAACTCACTTTGGATCCAAGATATCTACAAGGTGGAATCTCCACCGCCTGATGAAGCTCTCCAAATCTTCTGCTGGTATGTTTTTGGTCAAAAGTCCCCATATGATGATTTTGTGAAGCTTGCTCAGGAAACTACAACACTTTCTGGTAAATATCCGTTGGGGCTACGATTTATGGGCTCCTATCTTCGGGGAGTGTCCTTGGAATATTGGAAAAATGAAATGCCAAGGTTAAGGACTTGCCTTGACGGAGAAATAGGGAGCATTATAAAACTCACTTATGATTCCTTATGTGGTGAAGATAAAGAATTATCTCATCATCATATATCATGTTTACACGACATGGAATTGAATGAGAGAATGGAACAGTATCTTGCAATGGGTGTGAGGAAAAAATGTATCATCACAAATCAAGATCTAAAGGCATGTGCCATTTCAGACACTTTATTTCATTGCCATTTCGTTGATCTACGCATATTTGAATTCATTTGATAACTAACTATCTATACTCACTTCTTTGTGTCAATCTTCAGGAAGATATATATACAAGTGAAACAGCTTTCAAAGGAATGTCTAATCGATTACTACACACTGTCTATATCTACTGCGCAGATACATTACAATACTCCTTCGCCAGCCACCTCTCAATGGAATTCCGCCGAAAAGGAATTTATGCATTTGTAAATTGCAATGAGACTCTGGATGTGATAGAGAGGGTTAGTGCTTCTGTGGTAGTTTTCTCCAAGAGCTGCTTCTCCTCCACCTCAGACCTGGACATTGTGAGGATTTTTCATTGTCGGAGGAAAACCAATCAGCTAGTGGTTCCAGTATTCTATGGCATTAGTCTATCAGATATGGTGGTGCAGGAGCACGAGTCGGCGGATCAGATAAGAGAATGGAGTAGCACGCTCCACGAACTGAGAGAATTACTAGGCCACCAGTCTAGGTAACTGTATAGATTAAGATCTCGCTTGCAGCTTTAGAAGAATTTAAGTTTCTACTCCAAAATGTTTTCCACCTAACAAATCTAACACCACAAAAGTAAAATCAAGGTTTAAATAGAACTAATAGTGTTATTATGATAGTTTGAAATTGAATAATAGGGTTCACTAAATATGAGGCAGTTGAACCTAAACATTTTACTCTTCAGTATTCATTAAGATTTCTCCAGCAATTAACATTTATAATTTTTATAACAATACAAACAGGAAGGAATGCAGTGAGCGTGAACTAGTGGAAGAGATTGTCAAAGATGTGTATGAAAAACTCTTTCCCACAGAACAAATTGGAATCAACTCAAGGCTACTGGAAATAGAACAGTTGCTCCGCAAACAGACATGGGGTATCCGTCGCATAGGAATCTGGGGTATGCCTGGCATAGGCAAGACGACACTTGCTAAAGCATTTTTTGACCAAATATCTGGAGGCTATGAAGCTTCTGGTTTCATCAAACACTTTGACAAAGCTTTCCATGAGAAGGGACTTCAATGCTTGTTGGAGGAACATTTTGGGAAAGTTTTGAGGCAATTGCCTCGTGCATGTAGTAGCATTACAAGACCCAGCCTCCCCCGGGACAAGTTAAACAAGAAGAGAACTCTTGTTGTTCTTGATGATGTGCACAATCCTTTAGTTGTGGAGTCTTTTCTCGGAGGGTTTCACTGGTTTGGCCCGGGAAGCTTAATCATTATAGCCTCTAGAGATAAACAGGTGTTCCGCCTTTGTCAGATCAATCACGTGTATGAAGTTCAGAGTTTAAATAAGAACGAGGCTCTGCAGCTTTTCTCTCACTCTGCTTTTTTAGCAGATATGCGAGAACAAAATCTCTTGAAGCTATCAATGGAAGTGATTGACTATGCTAATGGAAATCCATTAGCTCTCAGCTTTTACGGAAGAGAGCTTAAAGGAAAGAAACACTCAGAACTGGAGACTGCATTCCTAAAACTCAAGCTACGTATGCCATATAAAATTTATGATTTATTCAAGAGCAGTTATGACACACTTGATGACAACGAGAAGAACATTTTTCTGGACATTGCTTGTTTCTTCAATGGAGAAAATGTTGACTATGTGATGCGACTTCTTGAGGCTTGTGGTTTTTTTCCGCATGTTGGAATTGATGTTCTTGTGGAGAAGTGTCTAGTGACTATTTCAGAAAACAGAGTGAAAATGCATAGAATAGTCCAAGATTTTGGCCGAGAAATAATCAATGGAGAAACAGTACAGATTGAGAGACGTCGCAGACTGTGGGAACCTTGGGCCATCAAGTTCCTACTTGAAGTTGGCGAATTCAAAGCAAATGGAGATCCCAAAGCAGCCTATACACATGCTCTGGTTTGGCATAATTCAATACTCTTATGTACATAACTTAGTCACTTTTGGAGATGAACCAACTCCTTCATCTATCTCAGTCCCTTATATTTCAGGCTACTGAAGACATCGAAGGCATAGCTCTGGACACATCGGATATACTCTTTGATTTGAACCCCACTGCTTTTGAAAATATGCTTAACCTTAGGTTTTTGAAGATTTACTGTGCCAATGATAACCTTTCTGGACTTCGCCTTCCAAAAGGACTTGAGTCTCTGCCTTATGAGCTAAGACTCCTCCACTGGGAGAACTATCCTCTGCAATCCTTGCCGCAAGACTTTGACTCCTGCCACCTTGTTGAACTCAATATGTCTTACAGTCAGCTTCAGAAACTTTGGGAAGGAACCAAGGTAAGCAAACTCTTCTCCGCTCTCTTATGCGTTTTGTCTAAATTCATATATTTCATATTCAATTTTTATTTTGTTTTCTCTTCAGAATATCGATATGCTGAGGATGGTCAGTCTTTGTCATTCTCAGCAGCTGACTCAAATTGACGATATTTGTAAAGCTCAAAATATCGAGCTAATAGATCTACAAGGTTGTACAAAATTGCAGAGTTTTCCAGCCACAGGTCAATTACAGCATCTCCGAGTTGTAAACCTTTCAGGTTGCAGAGAGATCAAAAGTTTCCCAGAGGTTTCACCAAATATTGAGGAACTACATCTCCAGGGAACTGGCATAAGAGAATTACCAATATCCATTGTGACCCTCTCCGGACAAGATAAGTTGCACCGAGAGCTTTCCAATATTCTAGCTGAGTTCTCAGGTGTTTCAAGTGCTTTGAACCTTAAGAAATTAACAAGCCAGGTCCAAATTGTCTCATCAAATCAACATCTTGGCAAACTTGTTTCCCTGAATATGAAAGATTGTGTTCTTTTGCGAAGTCTGCCTCACTTGGTTGATTTAGAATCTCTTAAAGTTCTTAATATGTCTGGATGCTCAAAGCTCGACGATATTCAGGGTTTCCCACGGAACCTGAAAGAGTTATATCTTGCTGGCACAGCCATAAAAAAACTTCCACAGCTCCCTTTGAGTATAGAAATCTTGAATGCACATGGTTGTGTGTCTCTTATGTCCATTCCTTTTGGTTTCGAGCAGTTTCCTAGGTATTACACATTCAGTAATTGCTTTTCTCTTTCGGCACAAGTGGTCAAGAAATTTGTAGAGAACGCTTTGACTAATGTGGAACGTATCACAAGAGAATATCAGCAGGTACCTCTCTTTCTCTCTCAGTTTCTCTCTCAGCTTGTCATATCTTATTTAGTTTAATTTGCAGGAACGAAATCTCAACAAAACTCTGGCTTTCAGCTTAATTCTGCCTTCACCTGCAAGTAAAGAAATCACATTTGATATACAGTCAGGAGCTTCTGTAATGATACAACTGGGTTCTTCTTGGAGAAGCACGCTCGGCTTTGTTATATTCGTAGAAGTTGCATTTTCACAGGATTACAACGAGGCTAGTGATTTTGGCATTAGTTGTGTTTGCAGATGGAAAGACAGGGAATGTGTCTCTCATAGGCTAGAAAAAAACTTTAATTGTTGGATTCCAGGAGAAGGTTTTTCAAAAGATCATATGTTTGTCTTCTGTGATCTCAATATGCATCCGAGTTCCTGTGAAGGAAATGACCACAGTATATTGGCTGATCTTGTCGTATTTGAATTCTATACCGTAAATAATCAGAAGAAATTTCTCAATGAGAGTTGTACAGTGACAAAATGTGGAGTGTATGTGCTTACTGCGGAAAAGAAAGATACAAGCCGTAACGCTAGTCAATCGCTGTCATCATTGGATTACATGCGACAAGTTTCTGATAATGAAGTTCGAGACGTAGTGAAGGTCATCCATGATAGCTTAGACGAGAATGAAAGAAATTTATTTTTCTACATCGCATGTCTGTTCAACGATGAGGGAGCTAATTTGTTGGCACCACTTATTGCTAGCAATGGCTTGGGGATTAGTTTGGGGCTTGAGGTCTTAGCCCAGAAGTCTCTCATACATTTATCTCCTTACGGTGTTATAGTGCGGCAAGTTTTACTTCAGAAGATAGGTAGAGAGATATTCCATCAACAATCCACGCTGCCTGAAAGATCAACAATGTCCAACGGAGGTTCTGAGAACGTTGACAATGATTCTACTTCTTCTTTGTCACACAACTGGAAATACGACGTCTTTACAAGTTTCAGCGAGGAAGATGACTGTAATAATAAAATTAGCAACCTTCTTGCAGAATTCGAAGGCAAACAGATAAGTCAATTGAAAGACAAAATGAAGAGAAGCAAGTCGGTCATCCCAGAGCTCGTACAAGCAGTAAGAGAATCGAAAGGTTCGATTGTCGTGCTCTCAAAAAACTACGCCTCATCGAGTAGGTGCTTGGATGAGTTGGTAGAGATTATGAACTGCAAGAAAGAGTTGGCTCAAAGAGTTGTGGCGATTTTCTACAATGTGGATCCTTCTGATGTCAGGCTTCAGATTGGAGACTTTGGAAGGGCCTTTAAAACCACATGCATAGGCAAATCAAAGGATGAGAAACAAAAATGGGTGCGAGCTTTGGCCGACTTATCAAATATAACTGGAATAAATTCTCGCAAGGGGTATGTTTTTATTCTATTATTTATACTTAAAAATCCTCAGATTAGTTGAAATTTAGCCATTAGTTCATCTCGGTTATGCTTTTTTGCAATGATATTTTTCCTTGTTAGGGATAATGAAGCAAACATGATCGAAAAAAGTGATTGTCATGTTTCAAGGAAGATAAATCATGCAACATCAAAAGATTCTTCCGAGTTGATTAGAGTAGAAGAAGTTCATGTGACAGATATCAGTTCTTTGTCGAGTTCGGAATCTGAAGAAGTGAAAGAAACATTTGGGATTTCGGTTTCCTTGGAAAAAGGTACAACTGCAAGAACTCTGTTTAGTTTACCCTCTTGGCAAATTTCCAAATCGTGCGTTTCAAATTCTGTTGATGTATTAATATTGGACGAAATCGCATGACTTCACCCATTTTATCATGATTCTGAGAATCTTGGGGTCCGATTGTTTTGTCTTGTTGTGATTAGCAGGGGAAGAGGCAACTTCAGGTATGGTTGCTATGCCTGTGGAGCCTCCATATTGGTTTAGAGAAGAAGGCAAACTGATAAGGTCGGAAACATGGAGTCCTAGTTTTATTGATCGACTCCCCTATGCCGAGCTTTACTCTGGAGAAATCCCAGCTGCCTTTTTACAAGGGCTTGGTAATATCCGCTCAATGCTCCAATCTGAAAAATCTAAATAACCGTAAATTTTAACTTTAACTTACTAAAAGCATGTATTTACAGTTTACTCTATCTACATATACTGTCAATACAATTTTATATATATAACTAATCAAGACACGACAACGTATAATATGATTTGAAAAGATGAATGGAACGTTTATCTTAGAGACGGCCAATTCAATCAAAGGAAAATAAATCAAAATTCGAAACCGAAGCATAAATTTTTAAATGCATAACAATGATAAGGCTTAACCCTGCAAAGATAGACTCTAATTGATATAGAAAGGTCAAAAAGAACATGATTGTTAATGTCATGGTTTCAAAGTAAGGTCTCAACCAAAAACCCAAAAATGTAAACAATTTCATATTGAATCTTCCTATCCTTATTCTGCCTTGGAAGCAAGAGCAGCAGCTTGACCTCTGAGACGACCAGTCCTCCTTGCAGCAATGAGACCAACCTTTTTTCCAGGTGGTGCATCACGACGAACTGTACTGGCATGACCAATATGTTGATGGTTACCTCCTCCATGAGGATGCTCAACTGGATTCATAGCCACACCACGAACCTTAGGCCAGCAGTTTCTCTTAACACGGTACTTGTGGTATGCGTTACCAGCCTTGAGCATTGGCTTCTCAGTTCTTCCACCACCAGCAACTTGACCAACCATGGCCCTGCATCCACTTGGCACAATCTTCTTCGAACCAGATGGCAACTTAATCCTGTCAAAAACATGTGTCAGTTTAAACCCTAAAAACTAAACCACAATTCTCGCGCAGAGCTAGCTATGAATCAGCTACCAGCAATATATATGAATCTTGACATGAGAAGAACAAGCCATTTGCAGCAATCTTTTCCAAATGCATAAACATTTATAATCAAATCTAATGCAATCAACCAAATGATCCACGATATATACATCATTAAACAATCGAATCGCGAGCAAAAGCATTGGATATACAAACCTGCTAGTGTCGTTATCAGGATTGTGAGCGATAACAATAGCGTAATCACCAGAAGCTCTGGCGAAAACACCACGATCACCAACATGATGCTCAACGTTACAAACAACAGCTCCTTCAGGGATAGATCTGAGGGGAAGAACATTTCCGACGACGAGGGTAGCTTTCTTCCCACAGTAGAGAAACTGACCGGTGTACATACCTTCAGCAGCGACGAAGAGCTCCTTCTGCTTCTTGAAACGGAAAGGATGACGGAAAGCAACGCGGGCTAAGGGAGCACCACGTCCCGGGTCGTGAATGATCTCGGTGACGACACCCTTGAGATAACCATTTCTCTCGCCGAAATCGAGGCTCCTGAATTTGGCAGGGCCTTTACGGTGGTGAGTGTGGGATTTGAAGACGGAACCAGCTCCCTTACGTTGAGCTCTGATGACACGACCCATGGATAATGAATTATGGGGAAATGCTTCGTCTTCGTCTTCAGATTACGGCGAGCAACAGCAATGAACAAAATTAGGTTTATACCCAGAGTCTCTCAGAAAACCCTAGTGGGCTGTGTGATACATTTATCCCTCGTAATTGGGCCTTATCGAAAGTCTATTAAAAGCCCAAACGAAAAAACCGGGAAGATTTTGAATCTCTTTTTTGATAAGTCAAAGTCCAGGAGCTTCTCTAGTACACCAGTCCGCAGCGGAGAACTGTCTCCTCGCATTCCGTTTTTGAAAAAAGAACAACAATGGGCGATTTTTATATAAATGGATATTATAAAAAATTTAAGTAATTAATTAAAAAAAAGAAGGTAATTTGAAATAGAGAGGTGTTTGTTGTCTCTTTGTGGAGCGTCAAAGTTGAAAAAGCGACCCCAAGAGCATAAATCATTCACAACACCCGCTCCTTCTTCTCTGGCACAACTTACACACACGCTCCCCCCACTTTCTTTCTTTCTTTCTTTCTAGCTCTCTGTCTCTGTAGCTCGACTAATGTTTTTTTTTATCTTCGCACCACAGTAACACACTCTCATTCTCAACTCTGTCAAAAAAATCAATCGTCTCCGGTATGTTTGTTGCTTCTCTCTGATTTCACGTTTCTGCTACTTTTTTTCTATAAGAAGCTTACTTAGAAATTGTATATTGTTTTGATTTTTTTGAACTCTTTTGTGTTTGTAAGTGAGAATAGTGTAGTAGCTGATGATGATCGGGTTTAATGTGTAGTCCTCGCGCCCATTGAGATGTGATTTGATTTATTTTTTTGTTTGGTTGTTAGCAAACTTTATTCAATTTTTTTCTTATTTGAAATAGTATTGGTTACAAATATGGAAATTAAATCATTAAATGTCATTCACTGCAAAGAAAAAAGAAAAGAGAAAGAAACAACAAAACGGTCATTGTTTGAGCTGAATACACAGTATAATAAATATAGCGGGATTTTGTCGGATGGAATTCAAAGTTACATTTACGGAAGATTTTGTGTTTCCTTTTTTTTTGTATCTTACTTCAAATTTCAAATCTTTTTTACAGTTTTTGTTTTTGTTTTTTATTAAGCTTAGTTTCTTCCTTTTTTTCTTAAGAGGAGGAGCCAAAAGTAATGGACGGTAGAGGTTGGCCATGGAAGAGAAAGTCTTCGGACAAAGCTACGACAGACAAACCAGTTGTTGCAAACGAGTCAACTCCTGTTTGTTCTTTGTCCTATTTAGCTTCTCTCGAGAATCAGGTTCTTTTCCTTTTATATTAACCATATATAGATAGCTCTGTCTGTTTTTACAATGGAGAGATTAAGTGCTACTGTGTCAGTTTTGGTTTAGATATTATAGATTTCAATTTTTTAAGTTTCTTTCTTTGTGTGTTCTTTCAGGAGAAGTGTAAAAATACAAACTATGTTCAGATTACTATGGATTCATACACGCATATGAGTAGAATGGAGGATCAGGTCAAGTTGTTTGAAGTTGAAGTTAAGGATCTTAAAGAACAACTCACTCTTGCTCACTCTGAGATTAAGACTAAAGAATCTTTGATTCTTCAACATGCTAAAGTCGCTGAAGAAGCTGTTTCAGGTCAGACCACCAAAACCTTTATAGTTCTTGAAATGTTAACATGATCTTGTGTGTGTTTGTCTTCGAAAACGCAGACTGTTTTTGTTTCTGATTATTATTCATTTAATCTGTTCTTTTAGGATGGGAGAAGGCTGATGCAGAAACTTTAGCACTCAAACGTCAACTCGAGTATGTTACACTCTTGAAGCTCACTGCTGAGGATAGAGCATCGCATTTGGATGATGCGCTGAGAGAGTGCACAAGGCAGATAAGGATTGTGAAAGATGAGAGTGACCAGAAGCTGAAAGATGTCATTCTTGCTAAGACCACTCACTGGGACAAGATCAAATCCGAGCTTGAAGAAAAGATCGATGAATTGAGCGAAGGACTTCATCGAGCAGCTTCTGACAATGCAGCACTCACTAGATCGTTGCAAGAACGATCAGAGATGATAATAAATATCCGTGAGGACAAGTCTAAATCTGAAGCTGACGTCGAGAAGCTGAAGGCTAATCTTCAGTTGGCTGACAAGGAGATTAGTTCACTGAAGTACGATGTTCATGTTGCTTCAAAAGAAGTAGAAATCCGAAACGAAGAGAAAAACATGAGTCTGAGGTCAGCAGAAATCGCAAACAAACAGCATCTGGAAGGAGTGAAAAAGATTGCTAAACTTGAAGCAGAGTGCCAAAGGTTAAGAGGGCTTCTGCGGAAGAAGCTTCCTGGTCCTGCTGCTATGGCTCAAATGAAGATAGAAGTTGAAAGCTTAAAGCATGAATTCACAGACCCTCGAGCACAGAGAGCTGTAGCTCAGTATCCAAGTCACATTGCAAAGGGAGAGATTTCTGCTGATCCTAAGTTGGAAGAGTGCAAAAGAGAGAATGCATATCTCACGAGGCGTACATTGGAGATGGAAGAGGAGATTGAGACACTTAAAGAACATCTAGCTGCGCGTAACAATGAACTGCAAGTTTCAAGAAATGTATGCGCTAAGACTCTTGGAAAGCTTAAGATTCTTGAAGGGCAGGTGCAAATGTTTCACAATGACAAGAATGCTCCGAAATCAAATAGCAGAAATCTTTCAGAAAGTCCATCCAGTGGTCATGATCATAACTATCCGCCTAGTGTCACCTCAGTATCCGAAGATGGGTTTGATGAAGAAGGAAGTTCCTCTGAGTGTGGTCCAGCAACCTCAACAGATTCTCATAAAGTGAGAAAAGTAAGTGTTGATGGTTTTTCAAAACTTAGGAGTTCTAATAGACTGGAGTTAATGGATGACTTCCTGGAGATTGAAAAGTTGGCAGCTAACGATCCAGATAGAGCTAACTCAGCTTCAAAATCTTCCAACAGTGCCTGTAGTAGTATATCTGTTGGCACACAATCCGTTACTAAGTTCAGGGAGCAAAATGAGGACACAACAACAGTTGATCAGCTGTTAATGCTTCTTCGTTCAAGAATCAACAGGATATTTGAATCTCAAGAGGGCATTAGCACCGAGAAAATCGTTGAAGCAGCAAGATTTTCGATCCAGGAGATGCAAGGATCATCACCCAAACAAATCTCAGGACCTCTGTTTGAAGTTACTGATGAAACTCTAGAGAAGCATGTTTTGTCATCTCAGGATACCGAAAGCAGCGGATATGTAGAGAAAAATACAAAGAAACAAGATTTGGAAGCAGCTATTTCCAACATTCACCACTTCATAAAATCAACTACAAAATCAACACAACTTCAGGAGATGAATGGACGACTACGTGAGAGCTTGGAGGATTTCTCTTCATCGGTTAGTAAATATTCAAATGGTGAATCAAGCCTTTCTGACCTTATTCTTGAACTCTCTTGCATTTCGATTCTAGCTAGTAATCTAAACAATGGTGCTTTGAGTCTCAAGCACCATAGTAAAGATACCTCTGTTGCAGAGAACAGCAACAAGGTTACATTGCTAGTTAAAGAGGTTGAAGAGTCAAATTCTTATCCACTGGGACATACATTTGCTGAGACAGAGGGTCACCTTGTAGATAACTTGATTAATGGTCAGGAGTTGGATTCATCATCATGCAAGAGCTTGTTGAAAGAGGTGGAACAGCTAAAGTTGGAGAAAGGGAACATTGCATTAGAATTATCAAGATGCTTGCAGAATCTTGAAATTACAAAGGCAGGGTTGGAAAAAAAAGAACAGCTCATATCGGTGCTTAAATCACAGCTCGCTTCTGCAGAAGATCTCCAAAGCTTGGCAGAAACACAACTCAAATGCGTGACTGAGTCATACAAATCGCTTGAACTCCATGCCAAAGATCTAGAAGGTAAAGTGAAAAGCTTGGAAGAAGAGACAGAAAGACTTGAAATGGCTTTCTCCACAGAAAAACGTGGCCATGAGGAGACTCTAGCAAAATGCAGAGACCTTCAAGAAAAAATGCAAAGGTACAACAGCTAAAACTTAGTTAAATCTTCCACTCTATACATGCATAGTTTATTCTGCTAATTTTGACTTGTACTGAAGGAATGAGAGTTGCAAAAAGTGTTCATCATCCAAACTCCAACCTAATCAGGTACATATCTTACATCTTTTCTTGATAAGACTATCTTTGTTCATCCGTTTTGTAACATCTTCTATTCAGATACAATAAGCACCTTATTAACTAAAATTTACAAATTTCTTGTTTCTCAGGAGCAAGACATAGCATCTGCAACAGAGAAGCTTGCAGCTTGCCAAGAAACAATACTCTTACTCAGCCAACAGTTACAATCCTTACAACCTCAGAGCAACCACAACATCCCCAAATCTCAATCCCCCGAGAAGACGCTTCAACAGCACGTTACCTCAGAAGCAACACAAAACTCGTCACTACATGATCATATCATCCAACCATCTCGTTCAGTTAGACACACGGTGAATCCAACAGTCCATGCGATCATCAAGTCTAGCTCTGTTTCTTCATCATCCAAAGAAGATAATGAGAAGCATACGCGCGGATTAGGACGATTTTTCTCCTCTAAGCAGAAGAACAATGGACGTTAAAACGCTAAGAGATAACACACTCATTATCTTTTGGTTCGTTTGATTTTCATCTTCCCTTCTTGGTATTGTGTATATGTTCACATCCGTTTTGAGTATTTGAGAAGATAACAATTCTAAGGAAGACCAATCTTCCTCTTCTTTACTCTCTACACATCACCAAAACCTCACCTTAAAACAAATAAGGCCACAAATGTCTGAAATTGGCCTAAAATTGAAGTAAACCGGTGTATAACCAACACCGAATTAATGTTTTGCTACAAACCGGACACAAAATCAAAACAATACAAAACAAAAAGAAAAATATGACATAATAAGTTCCTACATTTCTGACTTCTAAAACGACCAAAAGCTAGAACCATTTTGTCCTTTGTGCATCGAATCCCAATGTATAAAATTCAAGCACATCATGAAAAAGAAGAAAGTAAAATCGCAATCTTTGATAAAGATGTATATATTGATATATATACCATATGTCAAAAACTAATAAATGTGTGTAGGTGTAAAATCATTAAATGGGCAATTCTATTCGGTCAAGCATCATAATATATTGAAATGATTATGTTCCGTAAAGACTTTTGAAAATTTTGATACACTGCGAGTTGAGATTAACTTCGACATCTTAGACATTCCATCTATCAAAACTACAAAACATAAAAACAAAATTAAGTTACTAAATTCTCAACAATTTTCATATACAGAGCAAATAGACACATCAAATAATCTGAATGAATTCCAGAAGTTTTAGTTGAATCCATTCCATATTCAGAAGAATAATATTGCTAGACAAAACAAAAAATAGGAACGTGAGGTCCATGCAACAGAAAACAATAATGTAAGTTTTCAGATGGAATTCTACAAAAAAAGAATAAGAAATTAAAAAGTTTGAAAAAGGACAGGACACAGGACACAGATCAAACAGGTAATGCTCATCATCAATGTCAAGCAGACAAGGTATAAACTCAAAGCAACTTGACAGTATGGGCAAGCCAGAGTTTGTACAGAGACAAATGCTATTTTTTTCTCTTCATGGTCTTTTAATCTTTCTTATTGTATAAATTAATATATATACGTTTATTTGGTTTGTATTCTAATGAATATGATATTGAAATTTATAGTGTCTTCTAGTATTCTAATCTAAAACTAGAATATATATGATAACTGTGTCACTTATTGGAATAAGTCGCAATAAAGAAGAGGAAGAGAAGAGTCAAGATAGAAGAGACATTGTGGCTTACATGTTCTTCTGCCTTCGAAACAACTCATCTCCAAACCCTTCAAACAAACATTGTCTTGATCTTTTTCAGCAACGTAGACTCAAAATAAATAACTTGAAACATATCGACTCAAAATAATAAGAAAAATAGAATTTTTCTTCGAAAATTAGATATGCACTAAATTACCTATAACCATTATTTGTCACTAGCGTATTAGTAATTGTAAACTATGTATCACATCACTATGTGAGAAATCTTATTAATAAAATATCGACTTCACTAAAAGATATTATATTTATATAACAATATTGACTTTTCTTAAATACAATTATCTATCTAGTTGATAAAAAAATATCTCAACTCCTCATATTTTTCTTCCTAAAACCATCATTAACTCTAACAATACTATAGGATATTTTGTAAGATATTTATATATATAGATATTATTTTTACCCCAAAAAAAAAATACTAAAGTTCTGCGATGTATAAAACATTTAGACATCATACATTAATATAATAAAACCGGAAGGTTCAATAAAAGCATAAGAAAATAGATTTATTTATTTGTCAACACTTGAATTCAGCTACCTATTATGTAGTAAGCTTTGCTTCTATATATTGACAAATCTTGAAGGCGGCCTTTCGAAATTAATGAATATGAGTTTCATGTTTGAAAGTAAAACAAAAACAAGACAAATGGAACAAATGATATAGATCATGATAACGATACGACTAAAGGTTAATTATTGTTATAATTTAGAACCCCACCAAACAGAGATTACTACTGTATACACTTGGTATCATATATTTATCGTTTCCTTATGACCTATGTCATTAATTAGAAACAAAAATTGTTTAGCAAAATATTTCATATCAATATCTAAACTAATTTAATTGCTCCAACTCTTACATGAATTTCGTCACTACGGCATAAACAAGGTACATTCAACGGAAATAAACCCCTAATCCAAGCTAGGGTTTCCATTCCTATATGGAAGAAATATAATGGTTTGGAGAAGATATTGTTTCGATTATTAATTTATCACTTCGGGCTTAGTAGATATTTGACTTGTGAAACAGGGCATCACGCTCTATACCCAGATGTACTAGAAACAAGATTGGAACCACATATGGTAAATCGTTGATGTTTGGCCATTATGGTTAATAGAATTTTTTTTTGTATTTTAGTTTTCATGTTACTTGAAATAAATATTTGGTCATACAGAATTTTTTTTTCACATACATAAAATTTACAGAAAACAAGTAGAACCATTTTTATACCCTTTCTTTTTTATATGCTGTGATACAGTATATAATTATTAACTTGTACAGTATTTTTAATCAATCATCGTTCATAACATAATTAAAATTTCAATTTTTTTTTTGTAGGATGAAAAGAGAATCTTCATACTGTAAACATAGAGAATAACAACTTAGTAATCAGAATGAAAATTCTTGATTCAAAAATTGATACAAAATAAAACTAGCTATTCCTCTCAAGAACCAACGGTCAACACAATACACGTTGACTTGAGGGAAAAGTCGCCCACCCAAACTAATATACAAAATATTTAGAAGTAAAAAGAAACAAGAAACTGAAAATATATATATAAAAAAAGGATCCCAAGAAAGTGGTTAATTAAAAAAAAAAACTGTTAGATATATATTTAATATAGCCACAAATCTTGAGTCGATGCTTAACGTGATCCCCGCCATTTGCTTCCGTCTTCTAAGCAAAGATTATAAAAAAAAACCCTAAATGATATATATTTCATATATTCCTTTTGTTTTGTTTCTTGATTTTCTTGGCAATAGTTTCGATCTTCCGAGGGTCTAGAGTATGACAATGTGTGATCAAACCCTTATAACCTCAAAGAGAAAATCTTGAGGGAGTGACCGAATTGAGCTATAATGATGATCAGAGACTCCTCTGGTCTCTTTCGATGTCGAGTTTTATCTGAACATGGAGATGAGAGAACGAAAGACGACTTCATCACAAGGGATAGTGATACCCATCTCGTGCTCAAACCCAAACTCTTCCTCAGCTAGTTGGAGGAGTGTCTGGAACTCGTGATGATCTAGCCATGAGATTGGGACCACATAGCGACTTCGGTGTTGACCGACATAGACCGGGAAATGACCTTTTGGCACGTCGTTGAAGTAGCAATTACCTTGATTCTTCTTTCCTAGGCTTGAGCACCTCTTCAAGATTTGCTTTAGAGTTGCTGCTTGAGACAGCGCCGCTTTGTTCGTCTTCTTTATCGCCATTTGAGCTTATCGATCTGTATGTAGAGAGAGAGAGAACTAGCTAGAGAGAAGAGAGAAAGAGAGAAAGAGAGAAAGAGAGAAAGAGAGAAAGAGAGAGAGAGAGAGTTTGGTATGTTTGAAGAAAGTTGTGGATGTGAAGCTGGTGGGGAGAAACATGGATCGGAGGGGTATTTAAGGGCACAATGAGAGAGAAAAAATTGGAAGAGTTTATTAGATTTATTCAAGAAAATCATATTCTTTTTTTAATAATATAGTTTTTTAGGTTTACTTATGACTTTTTAGAAGATTTGTGACTAGGTTATATGTATAATATACACACAATAACGACTAATTCATGCAGAACCACATGAAGTGTTTTCCTTGGTGATCACATTAAAAGCCGCGTAAGTACGTAACATAATAGTACAATTGGCAATTGGTATACATTATATACATGATTATTAATTATTAATTTTGTCAACCTCTTAAAATAATAATAATAATAATAATAATAATAATACATGATGTATGTTATATGTTAGACTGTAACATCCAACTATTTTCAAGGGTTAATCTTTCTTTATTTTCACAAACCCAAATTGTTATATATATATTATGGTCCATATATAGTAGCCAAAATGGTCTAATATATGATTTTATTATTATTATTTCATCAATGGAGAATTGAACTCAGGACTACCTACAATTATAAGACAATGCCCTTGAATTTTCGCATACTACCACTATATCAAACCATCAAAGAAAAAAACAAAAAGATTACAATGTGAAAGCCAATATATCATGTGGGATGTAGGAAACAAGGCAGATTTAGAGACAATGCCACAAGGGAAAGAGGGCAAAATATGTAAAAGAATGTATACAAAATAAAATAAAATAGGAGGGTCTCTTGCAATTCAATTACGTAGGGACTATACACATTACCCTACATTGTCTCCCTTTTGTGTTTTTATTTAGACACAACTCTACAAATTGATACAAGTAGTGTCTGTTTTCTCTTCACTTGGTTATATACTCTTCTTCAGGATTTTGTCTCTACAGAAACTTCCAATTGTATTACAACTAATATATGATATGAAGAAATAAATGAATCATAACATGGCCGTTAATATATTCAGATACCCGTTTTGTCATAAATTTGAGTCCGTTGCAAAAAGGATTACGGACGAAGTATAAAGATACGTGAACCAAAGTACGTACTTGCAACTGCAAGATCACATGTCTTTTGCTACAAGTAGAGTTGCCAACACTTTATTGCCCATTTTCTTTAATTTTAAATATCTTCAAATTAATTAAATGTACAAATTTAATAAAAAGAAAAATGATTGTACGCCCCTTTGATTACAAAAATAAAAATAAAAATGATTGTACGCGTAGTTCCGTTGTTTTATATTTTTCTTGGTTGAAGTCGATCCAAATTCACATATTGGTCATTGTGACGAAGGTCATATATGTGACAGTATATATAGTGACCGACCTAAACCCAAACTTATGTTGGTCACCGTCAAAAGTCTATTATATAAGTGCCATTCGCAAAAATCAGCTGAAACTGATAGCTAGAGACTAGAGAGTAAATATTAGAAAGGGAGCCTTTTTGGGATTACTTGAAATTTTTATACAACCCTATTTATAGATGACTAAAAATGTACAGAAGATCAATTACATGAAAGTTTGATGGAAAATTACCTAACTTGTTAACTAGATAAATATATTTAGTGTATTGGTTTGTACTTTAACAAATACGTTTATTATAAATATATGGGGAAAGATATAGCTAAGCAATATAATAGATTGCCTACATGTGAAAATTTGAAATAAAAACAAATGCTTAGGTTGCAACCTAATCTTTTGTTTAATTGATGGTATCAAATCCATGCAAGTTCCCATCTTATTCCTTCGATGCCTTGTGTTCCACGTACTTCTTTCCCTATTCAACTTCTTATTTTTCTTTTTCTTTTTCTCCTTTTCCCCTTCATTTTTATGTGATTAATCAATCAACATCATGCAAACATTTCATCTTTGGCTTTTTGATAATTCCAATCGAATTAATTGCAATTTTTCCGTGGTAGAAACACCATATCGTGTATATCTTAACAGCCAAAAAAGATATTTTTACGACTACAAAAAAAAACAAAAAAAAAAAACAATAGAGAATTCTAAGTGTCGTCGAAAAGGACTTTTTGGCTGTATATAGAATATATACTATCATTCGTCTAATGAAATATATTTTTGTTTAATCAGGTGAATCACAGTTCCTACAAATTTGATTTGATTGGTTGTAGTTGTACAGCATCTATTCGCCGTGATTCGCTCTCCCGTCAAGAGTCAAGTTCCCATTTGGAACACTGCCTTCCTATTCGGCCACTTGGCTCTGGACTTGGACTCGTATATTAAACACAGCGTTTTAATTGTATCTAACGTGCTTGTCCACTTTCATGGATTTCGTAGAGTACTTTTAAACCAACCAGGTTATCAAAAGATAAGAGAATTTGTTTTAACGATCTAAAGCTGATGAATTCTTTTGCCTCAAAAAATAAAAAATGTGTAGATGAAACATCTAGCTACTATAAAAACACCTAAATGTATCATCATCAAAAGATTCAAAACATCATATGCGCCATTAGATTAGGGTTCTATTAGTAAAATAAGCGCAAGCTAATAGCCAAATTTCTTAACGCTTTTTGTAACTAAAGTTACCTTTTAATACATATATTTCAATATATAACGACAAATAGAAAAAGAAATAACAAAAAGGATTATTTTTTGGTCGACAGAAAGATTAAGAGTTTGGCTTCAACCGTTACATTAAATAGGGGCGGGGGATATATAATTGATTTTTTTTTTGGTATCATCTTAAAATGATATGAAAACGATAAAAATAACACTGTTTTGTGAAAAAGGATGGACGAAGAGGAGAAAAGTAAAAATAAAACTGAAACCCGAAACGTGGAAGATGGGATTTTGTCGTATTTATGAGAAATATATATAAAAATTGGGGGATACAAAATTTGGAAGAAAAACAAAACAAAAAGAAGAGATGGTGTGTGTGGGGACAAAGACAAAGAAAGGAGAAGAAGACAGTGAAGAGAGAATCAGGCGGAAGTGAGAAAGGAACAACACTTGGCTGTCCTGAATTGGCGCTTCTGTTGTGGTTCTTACTTGTAGACATGATCCCTCACTCTCCTTCCTTACCCCACACACACTCCACATACCCCAATTCATCACCATGCATCATCTATCGATCATCTCAACCAACTTTTCAACGATTATAACTCAAGCTTCGTCATCTTTTAACCCCAAAATTACACTGTCTATTTAAATATACGCCTCTGTTCAGTTTTGATTATGGCATATTCGTTTTGTTTTTCAAAAGTTTATACTATTATATATGAAACTATAGGGTATGATATCTGAACTACTAAAAATAATCGGACATTTGTTGTAATACATAAATTTCTAACATAGACAATTTGAGTGATGCTATTGTGTATGGCTCGAAACCTAGTTTTGGATACATGGCAACATCAGTTTCCAACTTTCCATTATTGGCAACTGGAATAAGCAAAGCCTTTTTACCTCACAAGCTACGCTTACTATATACAGCTGGTAAAATCATAATAAAGAAAGAAAAGAAGAAGGTACCTATTGATCAATAGCCTAATTAGCCATCTCAAACTATTTTTGATGTTATTTTTAGAAAGAAAAAATTAAAAACATATATATTTGTCGTGTTAACTTTTCAAAAAAAAAAAGTGACATATATTTTAATACAACAATTTTACATAATTTACATCGCCAATATTTTTCAGTTATTGATATAACAATTTGATCTTCTTCTTTTTTTTGTTGTTTCTTATATATATGCTTACATAACGAAATATCACATTCTCTTTTATATATAAAACATAATAGAAAAATTAACGTATACCTAGGTTGGAGTGAAGTGCATGGTGACAATCACAATATTACAAATGACTATCTCATCTTTTGTGGGGTAAAATTTTGTTTGCTTTCCAAATTTTTGACGATTATAGTATCATATATAATATTCGAATATCATCATAATATAAAGAGACCCTAATATAAATAGTTTGTCTCTTTGTCTATATTCATTTTTAACTTGACATTCGAAATACTGAAGGCAAACGCAAATAATTTCATATGAAACAGTCATGTCAAAAAGCTGAATTATGTAATCTTGAACCTGGATCCTTTGTCTAAATTAAATTGAAGTATTTGCTTTTTTTTTTTTTTTTTTTTGGGGCAAAAAAGTATTTGCTTTTATACCTAAGACTCTAAGAGACATTTTACATTTAAACAACAAAAAAGTTATACACTTCAAACCATATTACACTACAGTACAAAAGAGGTGGATTTTGCAAGGTAGGTATGATTTGATGTAGTTACAAGGAAAAGTCACCAATCAGGTTTCAGTTTTAGAATCAATATTATTTATTTTCCTCATATTTTCCCAAATTCAGAAACTACAATAGGGACAGTTCCTAACGACAAAAATGCATACAGATATTAGAATTTTATGAAAGAGTATTTTTCCCACTTTCTTTACGAATTAAATTTCCAATTTTTAAAAAGCTATAAAAGGGACAGCTCCTTACGACAAAATGCATAAAAGAAATAACAAATTCTCTTTTATATATTAATTTTTTTTTAAAATTTTTTTCCTTAGTTCTTAAAAATACGATTTATTCGTATTCAAAAACTTTTAAAAGGACAGCTCCAAACGACAAAATGCATAAAAATATTGATGTAAAGATATTATTTAAAGATATTATTTTCTTACACGTTAATTTCCCACTCCAATACAAAAATGCATTGAAAAATCAGATATTATTAAAAAGTTCCTGCAAATTAATTTCCACTCCAATACAAAAATGCATTTAAATTTCAGATATTAATTTTCCAATCCAAAACCTATTAAAGGGACCATCTTTTAAAGAAAATAACGTATATTTTTTTTTTTCAAGAATAATACATGTGAATAATGCCTCAATCATCAATACAATAAATTAACTTTAAGAAAACATATTTAGATGCTAATAAACAAATATATAAACAAATCCACAGAAGTAGAACCAAAGAGAGAGTCACAAAAGAGTTGCTCATATCCCTAAACTGTGAAGGATCCATGTCTGCAAAAATCTATGACACTCCCATGTGGCACTTATCTTCCAACAACAACTCAGCAAAGTCAGAGCACCACAAGCTGACAAAGATTCCTCCAATGAATTTTGAGCCACAAATCTGATTTTGGATAACTTATGATGAGAGAAGTTTTTTTCTCCTACCACCATGTTCCAAGGCCACTAGAGCCTGACTTTCAAACTGATTACAACTCTTTGCAGTTTATGTGTCACATTTTGATGTGAGTTTCTTTAGCAAAAGCAAGAAGCCTCTCTGATAACTGTCAGTGTCAGAATCTGTATTCCAGTTTCTCCTTTTCGAGGAGAAGTGTATGTGTTTTCTCTTCCTGATTTGGAGAGACTAAAGAAGTCATTTCAAGGTGTTTCTTGTTTGTAAATGCCTAAAATTGGTGGGATACTCATGTTCTGTGAATGATAATGACCATATGAGAAATGACTTATCATCACATATAGTACAGGAGGCAATATCTGTCAATGTCACGATGGTGGAAGAAATTACAGTAATCCTATCTGTACTTGTTTTTTCCACTGCTTTCTCTCCTTGACAAATGAAATTAACATGATTGACTCGACGACCAGTGAACAGTTGGCTTTAATAATTTTGCCACAAAAAGAAGATATGTACAACTTCTTTCAAAGATACCAAGTCAAAAAAAATATATTCATGTAACCAGTTGGCATTCTTGACGCATATGCACTACTTCCTGCATTTGAAAGTTAAAACTGTCTAGGCTGAAAGAAGTTGGATTATGTGACCTTGAAACTGAATCCTTGTATAGATCAATTGAGATATATCATATATATATATATGCTTTGGAAACTAGTCATATCGTATGTTTGGTATCTTGATAATGTTTTCAGAAATTCATTGTAGGATCTTTGGCTACAGCATGAAGATCCAGAGTGTGATTCTTGTAAAAGAATCTCACAATCCAATTCTTGTAAAAGAATCTCACAATCCATCAGAGACAAACATCAACAAAGAAGCAAAAAGTTAGCTATGACTTTTAGGTGTCATTGAAAAGAGACAAGGCAAAAACAGATCAACTATGCTTGCTTTCTTCAAAGCCATGTTCTACAGATAAATGTCAATTCTAAAAAAGAAAAGAAGCTGATAGCAAAATAAGTACACCTATTATATCAAAGGATTACATGTCAATGATCTTCTCTTTTGTCAGGTGTTTGAAGCATTCAAAGCCATGACTTTGCACTGTTCGTTTAAGGCCAGAAGCTGAGCTTCTTTCTTGTCAAGACGAGCGCTCAGCTTCATATTCTCCTCCATTAGCTTTTGCACTTCAACTTCTTTCTGTGCTTTCTCACCTTCCAGTTGTGTCGACTTAGCAACCAACCTGATTTCACAAGAATAAACATATGAGAATGGATTCAGGTAATATTGACATATAGCAGTTATATACAAAAGATTACGCGACAGTAGCTAACTATTATATATTGATTTTTCCACTCATCATGCTACCACTTCGTTGATTTACATACTTTTTGCCTTTGCAATTGAACAGTCACATACCTGTCTCATCATTTACATAATACAGGTAACAAGTTGCAAACAGAAGAGATGAGACTGACCGGGCTTCAATGGTATGGAATTGCCGCTCGGATGAAACAAGTGTTTCTATAACACTGGTGGAAGTATTGACGTAATTTCTAAGTGACTCACACTCTGCCTTCACACGACGGAGCTCCTCTTCATTCTCCATAGCCATTTCTCTATCTCTCCGACTATCTTCAACTAGTTTCTTAATTAACTCTGCTGTTTCGTCTAGAACAGTTTTATTCCCATGTACAATTTGTTTGATCTCTTCTAACCTCAAATAGAGAATCTCGATTTGTTCCGTCTTCCTTCTAATATCTTCCTCACATATAATTACCCTCTCCTTTTGAAAAGACGTTTCAGTATTAGCTGATATGACCCTCCTCAAAAGAGACTCGAGCACATCAATAACCATCTCTATGGACTGAAACGTCTTCCAAGTAAAGGCTCCATCCTCTATAAACAAGGAATCCTGCTTCTTTTCAGTTCCAGCCAATGTATCTCCACCTGGACTAGCCACTTGAGAAGCTGAACTATCATAGTCCAGTTCTAGCTGTTCAGCACCAAGTGACAGATGGGTTAGACCAGGAACGGCCAAGATTCTAGCTTTTGATCTTAAACAGCGCAAGCTTGCTGCAGCTGATTTGACCCTACCTAACAGAACATCTAATGCCTCTGAATCCTCTAGGGAAGTCTCCACATCTATAAGTTCATCTTGTAAACTATCTACACGCAATTGACTAGATTCCATCTCATGATTCCACACCCCAAGGCATTGTCTTGATGATGAATTACTAGTATCTGCGTTACCAGCCATTCCCAATCCCAACCTCTTTGTCCAGAACTAAAAAAGAAGAAACTTTCTTCCTGCAACAATACAAAACCAGCTTAGAATCCAATCCAAAACAGCATTCTCTACTCTAGTGAAAAGTCTCGAGTGGACTGAAGAAGGTCAATAATTAAGATGCAGCTCAAGACAACAATATAACAAAAATACAGAACCTTTCAGCTTCCTTTGAATTTGAAACCATTATGGGGTTAACGACAACTGAACTTGAAAAAACCCATGATCACGACACGCAGGAACAATAAATCAGAGAAGCTAATATCATTTTGACGATGAACAAGTATTAAGGATGATTCTCGTCTCAAATCAATCAAATTCGATTTCGTTCAGAAATCAAAATCGATCTGACAAGTTTTAAGCACGAATTTCGAAACGGCGATCGAAGAAACAAGTAGGGTTCCTTACGATATCGACGGTATTTGCTCCGGCTGATTCGTCGCTTCCCAATTTGCTTTTCCTGCTCTCCTCTACTTTAGTTGAAAATCAGAGGGAAAAAAATCTAAACACCATAATTAGTCTCAGCCAAAAAAAAAAATGAATGGTTTTTTACTTTTTTTTTGATGACACAAGAAGATCGGGTCGGGGCTCCAATTTTACTATCCGGGTGAAATCAAAATTACATGGGCTTTAAATGTAATGGGCTTTATGGACCAGAACTTTTGTCGGCGTCTTTTATTAATAAACCAATCCGACCTAGATTTTATTTAGATTTTTCATTATTCAAGGGGGAGACTCAAAAAGAGCAAAGTAAACGAACTCATTCGATCCGTACAAACTGAAACCAGAGTACGGAAACAGAGAGATTCAGTTGTGTTTTGTGTTACGAGAATGGATCCAACCTACGACGAAGATGTCTTTCTTGGCAAGTATCAGTCATCAGAACTTAAGATTGCTTCTGAATTCCTAACGACTTGGTTGCCTTTTCTATCTCGAGATCTCTGCAAAGACTGTCTTCATCTTCTCTCCGATCGAATCCGTTCTCTAGACCCAGGTTTCATTATTATTATCTTTCTCAATTCTATTGAAGTAACGGATAATTTTCGTTATTGTACTTACGTTGTGAATTGTGTGTTCTGTTTCGTAATTTTGAGTCCAATTTAATCATTAAAGTTGAGAACTTACAACCAATCTCTAAACTGTAAATTCATGTTTTTGGGATAATTAGAGATACTGCTTGTATAATATTATATGTAGTTTAAGCTATCTTCTTGAGATTTCTGTATTGGGAATCATTCTTCATGTGTAACTGTGTTTCTTTTATTACAGAGCACTGTAGTAACATAGAGGATAATGAGATGGGAGATGATTCTAATGGGAAGCTTTGCGATGCTCACTCATTAGACAGTTTGAAAGCTGGGGGTTTTGTATTTGGATCTTTGTCAGACGGTGTAAGAGATGCAATGAGAGATGCAATGCCATCTCAATCAACTGTTTCTGAGACGGCGAGTCCACGAATATCTTGGGCTGATATGGCACAAGAAGATGGGCTCGAGGAGGAAGAATACAAGGAGAGTGAATCAGGTACACATGAAGTTGATGGGAGTATGAAGACTCCCCAGAAGCGTAAAATGTCTAGGGAGGAAAGAGAGCGTTACCGATTTTTGAATGTGAAGAAAGTGAAACTGTTTAGTGGGTTTGAGAAAGTAAGAGGAAAGTCTGTTAATATCCTCGAGGGACTCGAATTGCATACCGGTGTTTTCAGCGCGGTGGAGCAGAAAAAGATTGTTGATTTTGTCTATCAACTACAAGAGAAGGGTCGAAAAGGACAACTGCTAGGTTTGCTTTGTATTTTCTCTCGTTGGTTTTTGCATGTTTTTTCAAATCTCTTTAACGTTACTTATCTAATTCTGAGTTTTGTGTCTTTTTCAATATCGTAGACCGTACTTTTAGCGCTCCGCATAAGTGGATGAGAGGCAAAGGACGAGTTACTATCCAATTTGGATGCTGTTATAACTATGGAACTGCAACAGTAAGTGACTCTTTTCAAGTCTATTTTGTTTTAAGAACATTTGATCAGTCCTGGTGACTGATGAAAGAGTTTTTTTTTTTTTGCTTTGTATTTTTGACAGGACAAAGCAGGAAACCGACCCGGAATCCTTCAACACGCAGAGGTTGATCCAATACCGTCTCTTTTCAAAGTAATAATCAAAAGGTTGGTGGGGTGGCATGTACTTCCTCCAACTTGTGTACCAGATAGTTGTATCGTCAATATATATGAAGAAAGCGATTGCATACCCCCTCATATCGATAACCACGACTTCGTACGCCCTTTCTGCACAGTATCATTCCTCAGTGAGTGCGATATACTGTTCGGATCAAATCTCAAAGTCGTAGGGCCTGGTGAATTCTCTGGTCCATACTCTATACCGCTTCCTGTCGGGTAATGCTCTATAGGTTTGCATATAGGTTTGCATACTCTCGCTCTGAGTTGTTCTAGACTGAAAATTGTGTTGCTTGACTTTTCTACTTCAGATCAGTTCTAGTGCTAAATGGTAATGGAGCCGATGTCGCTAAGCATTGTGTACCTGCGGTTCCCACGAAGAGGTAATTTGTTAGGACCTTGATTGTTTTGGTAACGTTTATTTTTTTATGTTTAGTATGTACTTTTTGTTTTGTAATGAAACCATAAAAGTCTCTCTTTTCGTCAAAGAGTTTGGTATTTGATTCATACTGTTTTTGTTCTCCTTGGTTCTGCTTTCAGGATATCGATCACGTTTAGGAAAATGGACGAGTCGAAAAGACCAGTCGGATTCACCCCGGAACCTGATTTGCAAGGGATTGAGCCGTTGCCATACGAACAGAACACGCCGAGTGTTCCTGATGTTGTTGCAGCCATTAGCACTTCAAGGTCTAGCAACGACCAAAACGGTAGGAATCACAACAATCGAGCTGCACACGAAGAAGGAAGTAGACATCGTAGGTCGAGAGATTATCATTCTGAGAGTCGAGAGTGGTCGTCGTCATCGAGCCAACGAAGAGACAAGGCGCGACCTACCCCTAACTTGTCTTTTAGACCCAAGGTTACTAGCTCCGACAACGCCTGAGAATTTTGCCTTCTGCTCTTTTTTTTTTCCCTTTTGTAAAAAGGAAATTAACATTTGTTTTTTACCCCCACAATAATTATTTTAAAAAATTGATTCCTAAACAAAATCTGTTTTTTTTTTTCCGTTTTAACTGTGTATTTTTATGAATTTGACTCGTTAGTCAATGGAATATGAAATTGGAATTGGGAAGAACTATGAGAGGAAAAGAAGTTTTAATGGAATAGTATTAGATAAAAATGGCAAAAAATCAACCTAAAATGAATATGAAGACTGTATAAAATGTCTAAATAATCTATAACAACACATTTATATGGTTGAAAAAGCTGGATAATTATGAAAACGAAAACAAATTTAAGTGTATTTCCTTTAATTCGAAAAGTTGAGGGTATAATTTGACTTTTATATAAATAAAATAAAATAGGACCTCGTATATATAACTCGGCTGCGCAATTTCATTGCACTGCCTACGCTCCAGTTCTAAGGTTCTCTCCTCTTTCTCTCTTTTCAGGGGAGTCTCACAGAGAGACCCCAACAACAACAACAACAAGAACGAGAGGGAAATTTCATCATCTTCCATCGGTTGTGTTATACCGGAGAATCAATGCTAGCTCTTGAGATTTCTCTTTTAAATTAGTTAAATTTTGTATAAACCCTTGTTAGTTTCTGACCTAGTGGAGCACCCTGGGCTTAGCGTCAGGGATCGTCGCGCTTTGGGTGTTAGAAAGAAGGACGAGGAGGCGACTTATACAATTTCTACTGTGACGGAACCCTAAGACAGCGTTTTCGCTTGTCTGGGTCCTTTGTTCGTTTAGCCATGAGTCCAATTCAGAATTTTGAGCAACACTCTCGTCGTCTCGTCGAGCCTGACCTACGTAATTACACTCACTCTCTTGTCTCTTCTTTGTATCGTGGTTGGGCTGTTTGTTTGTTCAAGCTTTGATTTTGTATTGAATTTTTTATTTTTTCATTTCACTTTTAATTTTGCCAGCGAAGTCTTATCTCTTCTGATTAGCGACGAGTTTATGTTTGATTTTGAGTCAGTGTTCATGTTACAGTTTTATAGTGGGAAAGCTCATTTTTCTTCAAATTTGAAATCAAAGTGACATTTACTCGAAGCTTGTTTTGTGTTCTGTAGCTATTCATACGAGGCTTGAGATGGTGGTGCAGGTCAGGGACAGTCTGGAGATAACACTTACGGCTGAGTACTTGAATTTCCTTAAGTGTTACTTCCGGGCATCTTCTGTGATTCTTCTTCAGATTACAAAGCCACAATTCACTGATAATCTTGAGCATAAACTACGCAACATCGTGGTTGAGATCCTCAATCGTCTACCAAATAGCGAGGTTCTCCGTCCCTTTGTTCACGATCTCTTGAAGGTTGCAATGCAGGTGCTCACGACAGATAATGAAGAAAATGGGATCATATGCATTCGCATCATCTTTGATCTTCTTAAGAACTTTAGGTCAACATTAGAAAATGAGGTTCAACCATTCTTGGACTTCGTCTGCAAGATATACCAGAACTTCAGACTGACTGTTAGCCATTTTTTCGAGGATGTCAAATTGGAAGAAGTGAAGCCTACGGAGATATCTACACCATCTGATCAGTCGCTGTCAGTTACTGCACCTTCCAGAAATGGGCAGATTAGCCCAAGTACACGTTCATTCAAAATAGTCATAGAGTGCCCCCTCGTTGTTATGTTTCTTTTTCAGCTGTATAGCAGACTTGTTCAGATCAATATACCTAATTTGCTGCCCCTGATGGTTGCTGCTATATCTATCCCTGGACCTGAGAAATTTTCTTCACATTTGAAGCCTCAGTTCATCGAACTAAAGGGTGCGCAGGTTAAGGTGAGACAAGGGCTCTCTATCAGGAGGGAAACCATAACTTATACGGACAGTGAAAATAAACTTTTATTACGGCCTATACTAACTTGTTCTTTCACCTGAATTAGTTTGTTACCATGTCGTATATTGACTTGTCATGTTTGTTTGTTTGTTTTTGTTTTTTTACAGACGGTTTCTTTTTTGACTTATATGTTAAAAGGTTGTGCCGAATATATCAGGCCGCATGAAGAAAGCATATGTAAGAGCATTGTAAATTTGCTTGTCACCTGTTCGGATTCTGCATCTATCAGAAAGGTGAAGAACTGTCTGTTCCTTTTTCTTCGGTATTTTTTCACCTTGTAATACAATCATGGGATTGCAGTTAAAGATGTGTTTTGGTCTATGAAATGCAGGAACTACTAGTCTCACTAAAGCATGTACTTGGGACGGATTTCAAGAGAGGTTTATTTCCTCTTATCGACACTCTTTTAGAAGAGAGGTATAATATGCATTTTTTGCCTTTCTGAATTCTTAACATTTTACACCTATTAGGAAGCTGCTTTGTTTTTATCAAGTAGAACTTTTACTGTTCTGTGTTCTTCACCGTGTGCTGCAGTATAATATATTAACAAATAAAGAATGCTGTCATCTATTTGCTACTTTTTCTGTGTCAGGGTTCTAGTTGGAACGGGGCGAGCATGCTTTGAGTCTTTGAGACCTCTGGCATACAGCCTACTGGCCGAGATTGTTCACCATGTTCGAGCAGATTTGTCTCTTTCTCAGGTGCCTCCCGTTGTGCTCTGTGCAATTTTTTTCTTACTTTAGCTTCTGTTTGTTTTTCTTGTTATAGTTCTCTCTTTCTAGATTACTTCTTCCTAGTTGAGAGCGTTTTAAGTTCTGGAAACTGTGCATGCAATTGGATCTATAGTAAGTGATACTAATGTGTTCCAATACAAATTATTTGCTATGTATCTGTGGCTTTTGTGGCTGGGTATCAAAAAAGATCCTCATCTTAACGGTCTTATCACTTGTGATAAAAAAAGTGGTCATGCTTGGGAAGGATCTTCCTTGCTTATAGACATGAAACCTGAGGCCTCCCAAAAAATTCTGCCGGATGGAAAATGCCAATATATAAATTTTCTTGGGAAGAAACATTGATCAAACTTTTTTGTCAACATCAGCCTTCCCTTTTTTAGTTTTTTCCTCTTTCCATTGTCTACTATATGGGTGACTTTTCTTTAACAGTTCATCGTATTTGACTGTAAACAACGTGGCAGTTATCGCGGATCATCTACTTATTTTCAAGGAACATGCATGACTCGACCCTCTCTATTAACATCCATACAACTTGTGCACGACTGATGTTAAATCTGGTAAATATTTTCCATTTTTTTGCCTTATTTATACTTGATATATTACTTAAAATTTATGTGACATAATCTGTCCACTATATTTGAATCAAGATTTTGGTATAACTTAATACTTACATTGGGTTCAGGTAGAGCCAATATTTGAGAAAGGTGTTGATCAGCAATCAATGGATGAAGCGCGGATTATGTTGGTATGTCATAACCCTTGAGAGCCTATATATATATGGGTTGGCTGTTCTAACCACTAACTTATTTTATTCATCATCTCTTTATAGGGACGTATCCTGGATGCCTTTGTTGGGAAATTCAATATATTCAAGGGCACTATTCCTCAGGTAATTATGGTTGCTTTCCAAGTTTCCATGATGTTTCAGCTTTTTGGCATTGTTGGTTGTTGTATAGGTTTTGCTTGATCAGCCAGTTTTTATATTTTATGTCTTAAGCCGTAATAGATTGCTTTTTTGCCTATGTTTTGTTTGAGAAATCTTGGAATTTTATCGATCCTGATTGTCAACTTTTTTTATTTTATTGATATGTTACTTAGTCTTGCTTTTACTTCATAGCTTTTAGAGGAGGGTGACGGAAAAGATCAAATCACTTTGAGGTCAAAGCTTGAACTTCCTGTCCAGGTAATTATCTATGATGGCTGTTTTGTCTTAGTAAGTTCCCAAATTATCAGCCAATGTGTTATTGTGTTCCACACTTCCACTTTTATATTCAAACATGGTAGTTCCACAGTTTTCCTTAATTCTAACGTAGATTTAAAGCCTTTTATTTCGTCCACTGCAGCATTATTATCTTTATTGATAATTTACTTTTGATTCATACTGGCAAAAAAAAAATTACTGGACTATGCTGGTTGCAGGCAGTTTTGAATTTGCAGGTTCCTGCGGAACATTCCAAAGAAGTGAATGATTGTAAGAATCTGATCAAGACACTATTGATGGGTATTGAATCTTGGCCACACTGATGTTTCCACCTTAGCAGACCAGTTATACATACTGATTATGTTTGTATATGTTAAGCACTTTTCCTACTTTGTGTTCAGGAATGAAGACAATCATATGGAGTATAACCCATGCACATTTGCCTCGACCTCAGGGAATACACCCACAAGCTCTTGCTTCGCAGTCATCTGTTACTCAGGTTTTTAAAGGAATGAGGGAAGATGAGGTATTAAATGTTAGATTGTTAAGTGTAAGCGTTGATAGTATATGGCTGATAACCTTTAGCAATCTCTACTTTTAATCAGGTACAAAAAGCCTCTGGTGTTTTAAGGAGTGGTGTCCATTGCCTAGCTCTATTCAAAGATAAGGATGAGGAAAAGGAAATGCTAAATCTTTTCTCCCAAATTTTGGCTATTATGGAACCTCGAGATCTAATGGATATGTTCTCTATATGTATGGCTGAACTTTTTGAGTGCATGATTGAGAATACTCAACTGGTTCAGATATTTGCCACTCTTCTTCAAGCTCCCAAAGTATACAAGCCATTTGCAGATGTTCTGATTAATTTCCTCGTAAGTAGCAAACTTGATGCTCTGAAGAATTCAGATTCAGCTGCAACTAAATTAGTTCTGCATCTGTTCCGGTGCCTCTTTGGGGCTGTGTCCAAATCACCATCTGATTTTGAACGAATATTGCAACCTCAAGTGCCTCTTATTATGGAAGTCTGCATGAAGAACGCAACTGAAATTGAAAACACTCTTGGTTATATGCAATTGCTCCGAATTGTTTTCAGAGGACTTGCTGGATGTAAATTTGAGTTGCTTCTTAGAGATTTAATCCCCATGCTACTACCTTGTCTTAATATACTTCTGACAATGCTCGAGGGTCCAGTTGGTGAAGACATCAGAGATCTTTTGTTGGAACTTTCTTTGACACT